CTTGTAGAGCAAGGCCACTTTTGACTCACAAACTAAGTGCTCAGCCAGACTAAAAAACAGGAAGTTTTAGTGCACAGGCATATTAATAGATAAGACTCAGAAAAGAGGAACTATAAGACATATAAGACACATGTTGAGCTAAAAATGTTAGAAATCCTGCAACTGGCGTTTGAGCTGTGCAGGGGTCTCTCTCTTCCAGAAGATGATTGAATAAAAAGAAATATAAAGGTTTTAACACACTGTGAGTCAGTTTTCTCTGTTCTATCACGGGGACAAAAGAATCGGGGTTAATACAATGCTCTGTTTAAATGTTTGATGGGGAGACTGGAAGCAGAATGTCAAACTGCAAAAAGGACAAAGATACTTAAACTTTGTCACATACAAGCAAGGATACATCACTCAGCATAACATTATGACCACCTGCCTAATATTGTGTTGGTGCCCAAACAGCAACAAACAGTGATGCACTGTGTATTTTCTTGCCTTTCTATCAGATCCAGCATTACCTTCTTAGGCGATTTGAGTTACAGTAGCTCACCTGTTGGATTGGACCACAGGGGCCAACTTCGCTCCATGACCCTGTCACTGGTTCACCACTCTTCCTTTCTTCAACCACTATGGATACCAACTACCTAGACCATGAACACCCTACAAGAGCTCCCTCCATTCCACCACATCCCAAAGGTGCTCTATTGGATTGAGATCATGTTCAAGAAACTTAAAAGAAACCCGAGCTAAGTAACACGGAGAATCTTAAATTATCCAATTTTGTTGAGACTGGATGAGTTATAGCCTCAGTTTCCTGTTCTTTGCTGAGAAGTTGAGTGTAGCCAGTGTGGTTGTCTGCTGCAATAGCTCATCTGCTGCAAGGTTTAATGTTTTGTACTATCACACATGCTCTTCTGCAGACCTTGGTTGTAATGAGTGGTTATTTGAGTTACTGTTCCCTTCCTATCAGCACCAACCATGTGGCAGAACCGTGTCAGACTAAACAAAATCGCCTTTCTTCCCCCAATTTGTTGCTCAGTTTGAACTTCAGTGTTTTTTTGACCATGTCTACATGCCTAAATACATTGGGTTGCTGCCATGTCACTGGCTGATTATATATTTGTGTGATCGAGCACCTGAATAGGTGTACCCAATAAAGTTTGTGGTGAGAGTGGTGTGACCTGTGAGCCAAGAAAAAAAACAAACTTGTGCCTGTGACTGATTACGGAGACATATTGTATATGTCTAAGTAGCTAGATAAAATAAAAGATGAAACATCGTCACGAAATTTAAAGAAGTCCAGCTAGTTTCTTTCCAAGATCCTTAGACTACCATGACCTGGATGACCGAGAACCTACACAGATTGCATATGCATGCCATGTATCTCTGCATTTTAATGCAAACTGTCTGATTCAGTACTGCATTCTTTGTGATTTAGTGGCATGGTCAACAGGCCACTGGTGTGAAAGTCTCTAAACAACCATCAGAAACAGACTCCATGAGGGTGGCCTGAGGACCCAACATCCTCTAGTGGGCCCCGTGCTCACTGCCCAGCACTCTAGAGCCTGTTTGAGACGCTCCACCACCACAATCTTTATAAGGATAAG